TGTTTTAGTTTACAGTTGGGACGATATCCCTTTAAAAGCAAGTCCGTCATATTTTTTTTTCTAATCGCGCGGTTATCTTTATAGAACGCATGTTTTGAGAACTTTTAGAACAAAAAAAGTGTTCACTATAAAATTAACTTCTTGTAACTAGTTTTGCCACTAAAAAGTATCATTGGTGAGCTGTGACGTAACCCCATATGCGTATACAAAATATGTGTGAGAAGCGGGAAGTGCTGTGAACAATTCCATTTTCCGTTCGAAGGAAATTTGTTTTTATTTTATATACACTTATGAAGAACCGTTTTTTAATCTAGCCTCAACTGTTGTGGAAAAATATTGATTAAGTTAAAACAAATTGAGACAAACTGCTGTGCAAAGTATGGGTGACATTGATTCACCCGTTAGAAAGATATTTGAGGATAAGTTTTGACCGCACTAGAGAACAACGAGTATAACAAAGGAGTTGCTCAATAAGCTTATTGTCCCAACGCATATAACATTTTAAAATCTGTAGAAATCACCCATTGGGATTTTAAAATGAGTGATTACCAATGAATTTTCTAGAATAGATTGATTACTAATGAATTTTCTAGAATAAAGCTAACAGGCGTTTACAAAAACGTTGATCTACTAAGACAAATTGATATACGCTATTGTGCAAAAGCTGAGGAGTCTATGTTCGATAGTTGAGGTAATATTTGACAATAAATTCCCCCGCGAATTTTTGACCGCTTTGCTAGCATCACTGTGGGTAATAAAATGATCCTATTTCAAATTGCTTCTTCTTGGGGGATGTAAAGAAAGCTTACTACATGTACTAGTAGTGTGGTACTTAACGTTATGTGCGTAATGAACCTTTCTGTATATTATTCTACTCAGTTAAAAAAATAAAGATTCGATATTCTTGTTATACGTTGTGTGGACTTTCCTTTTTATTGGGGAAGCAGAGTCAAAACTGTCCTAGACGACCTCCCGTTTCCGCTAAGGACAGTGGTTGTCTTAGCGAGGTGGACGCCTTTGGCAGTGTCAATAATTTAAAAATTTATTTTTTAACAACTCAAAGGAGAGTTGCGAGCGCCCTAAAACCTCTACTAAAACAAAACTACCAAGGAGAGTTTGGAAGTTTTGTTTGTGGAGGTACAGGTGATTGTCTTGAGCAGGTGGCTGTAAACTGTTAGATCAGTATCGACTGTTTGTAATTATTTTGTACGAAAACATATTATAATATGTTTCACGACGCGGTGGAATCAGGTCCTCGTCAATTTTTTGACATGTGGAGTTATTGGTATCGTTTTAAAGCGTGTACATTTGTCTTGCTTTCGGTGGAAAAAAAATACTCATCTATCATGAATAGAAGCCGAGAAATTTGCGATCGAAGGAGATTTAGGGAAAGGGGGTCACTTGGTTTCTGGGGCAAAATTAGCGAGAAAATGGCCGCCAAATTTTGGCGATTTCCAAAGCTTGAGAGTCCTTAGAAACTGCAAATTTACATTTTTGTACCTTAAATCAACTTGTTAACAGAGAGTTACTACTCCGATGAATGGAGATGTCTCTCTCATCTGTCAAGACACGGCGTCTGCTTTGCTTTGATTTCATTCTGGGTTATGGTGTCTGCTTCCGTGGTTCAAATTCCATGTCGTCGGCGGCTGTTAAAAATGTACTAAGCCCAAAACATATTCTTTTGTAAGTGTTTCAAGGCGCTCGCAACTGCATAAGGTCATATGAACGCGCGGGACACATTAAACATTTTCAGTTGGTAGGAAATTTTGAATTTTGCCCGGGTGGCGGACGAAGCCTGCTCTTATCGATTTTGGACCGCCAAGGGATCTTTAATGTGCGCAACTTGCACTCGGGACTTCCGAGATTTTTTGCTTTGATCCGCCAAGGGTAGGTGTTCGTCTTATCCACCAGAAGATCAGGAATGTTGCTGAAAGACCGCAGTATGAAGGAGCCAAGGAGTAGCTGTAGAAAGAGTCAGGAGCCCAGAGGAAGGGGTAAAGGAGGTGAGAGGGTAGGGGCAGAAAGTGGGGACGAAAGAAGACGACAGAACATTGTTCATCATCATCATCCGGTGCCTTGCCGACTGGCGTGGGCGATCATGGACATCCACTTCACCCTGTCCTGCGCTGCAGCAATGGTGTCTGCTGTTCTGGCTGCTCCCAGCCATGTTGTCATCTTGTCCAGAACATTGTTAGAGAGCAGTAAAAAAGGAGAAAGGAAAACATTTTAGAGAAGAGAATTTTCCGTCGCTCACCAGATTCGAACCGGGGACCTATTGCATGAGGGGACAAACACCGTAACCTCTCGACCACGAGAACCCCCGCCCAATATATTGAAAACTTTTGTTGTTGTTGAGGTTTCTTAATCCATGGTATTGGTTGCATGTGCCTAAGAAATATTTAGTTGAAAATCAAATTCTGAATGTTGAAAAAAGCAATTAAAAAGATAGTTCATGTTCTTCTTCTTCTTCCTCTTATTCTCCTTCTCCTTCTCCTTCTCCTCCTCCTCTTCCTCCTCCTCCTCCTCCTCCTCCTCCTCTAAATGGACATCCCAGTCTCTAGTGCGAAGGCTGTCTACAATGACCACTTTTCTCCTTGCCAATAGATGGTCGTCTTGGACAGGTTTGACTGTAATCTGCAGCAAGAAAAAAATTAGTAACTCTGTTAGACTGTCTGTAAAAAAATATTTGAGTTGCTTTTATATTTTGTGCAACAGAAAAAACCCTCAGGGGGAATGGTCAGGGTTTCAAGAGTTTGACTAAATTTGAAAGTTGACAAGCTACAACTACAAACAGTTTTATTTGCCTAGATTTTTTTAATTGAATGTAAGCTAAAAGAAAAGATATTATTCTGCAGGGTACACCATCTGCTCAGTTGGCAGCTATCATGTTGATCTGTGATGTAGGTTAGTGGTCCCCAACCCCTGCACTGGTTGGTGGGTCATTTGGTTCCGCACCACACAGGAAAAGGAAACAATATTATTGTCCTTTTAAAAATTATTTATTTGATTATCAGATTCCGAAAGGTGTTTATTTTGAATAATGACGGGATTCTCTCCTGTCACTTGATATGTGACGTGATAGTTACTTCTCAGCATGTATTATATTAGATATTTACTCTCAAACTGGTCAAATATCTTTTTCGATGTATTTATCCACTACATCTTGAAGACTGGTCTGTGAAAATATGTCTTACATGAAACCTGTCTGTGGCGCAAAAAAGGTTGGGAACCACTGATGTAGGTGACCTTGATTCAAATCTTGTTTTTCTATCTGTATAGAATTAATGTTTTAATGAAT